ACCTCACCCCAGAAAGAATGGCTGTTATAAAGAAATCATCCAATAACAAATGCTGGCGGGGGTGTGGGAAGAAAGGAACCCTTCTCCACTGTTGGTGGGAGTGCATACTGGTGCAACCACTGTGGAAATCAGTGTGGAGATGCCTCAAAGAGCTAGAGTTAAGAGGTCCCATTGACCCAGCTATCCCCCTGATGGTTATCTTCCCAAAAGTATTAAAAGAATCATATTGCAGTGATATATGTGCACTCATGTTTATAGCAACACAGTTTGTAATAGCTACAGCTTGGAAACAAGTTGGCACTCTGTGTGCTACTTTGCGATACACATGGATGAAATTGCCTAATAACTTATTTCTCAGATTATATTTCCATCACGAATCACATGACTGTATTGAAATTTAAATTTAAAAAAAGTTGGCCTATGTGGAGTCTACTAGTTAATTAGAATTTTTTCTCCAAACCACTATTTGTTCAATATTAATTTTGAAAATCTTTCTAAAACAAATTACATCTTCTGATGTCTTATTAATACTTGACATTTTTTTTTAAATTATATGGAAAAAGGTTTTAGTACTTTTCGGTTTTGCCTTGGTTGAGTTCTATTATATTTGAATATTATTATAATTTTTCCCTTGCATTGTTTTTCTTTGAATAATTTTAATCTTTGCATATGTGTGTGTTTAGTGAATGATAATAAAGTTATACATTAATAAAAAATGAGATAATGTATAAAAAGAGAAAGGAAATGTCTTCTGAGTTTGGCAAATTCTTGAGAAGATATGGACTCACATTTGATGGACTAATGAATCCTCTCTTCCTTGGAGTCTCAAATGGAAAAATTTTAATACTTCTGTTAAAACTGTTGATTTTACACCTTAAAAATAAGGATTCCTACTTAAATTGAAGAATATTTTTGGTCAATATCTCATAACTACAATAATTAATGAAATGGTTGTACAGTTACTCATTACTGCAGATAACAGTGGTACTGTAAAATTAATCATATATTTTCATTGAGTTTACAATTAAATTTATTTTAGGTAAAGTACTTTCTATATAGTACAAAGGATATTGCTCCTCATAGGGGATAGATATATGAAACATATTCCCAGGAAACATAAAAATAAGAAAATTATTTATGACAATCTGTGAATACTCAAGATTTTATCAAAGTAGAAATATACATTTCTACATTAATTGTCATGATACTGCTGATGGAATTGTTAGCTCCCAAATGTATTTTCTAAAATAAATTTGGCAATATATAAAGGAAACATAACAATACTTAATCAACAGGGACTGATACTTATCATGAAATATGATAAGCAAAAAACAGAATATGTGATAATAAAACTACAGTCTTTAACACAGTATCATACTGATTAACACAATATTGTATATAAGGAAGAGAAAGCCAATAGCAGAAAATAACAAGAAAAAACACACCTATTTTACTATAAAATTTTAAAAACTTGGTAACACAACTGAAGATGATAAAAGATATCTTTTCCATAAATGCCATTGAAGAAAATAGGAAAAAAATAACCTTTAACTTCTACCTCAGAGCATACATATCTAACAGCTAAAGATACATTAAAAAACTGTTTAAAAAGGTAAAGGAAAATAAATTCTAAAATAAAATGTAGATGAAAATAGTCATGTCCTTGAATTAATAAACTACTGCTTAAGTTAAAAACAAAAAGTAGTAAAAAATCATAAATTAGATTTAAACTAATTATAATTAAGAATATGTATCTATCTAAAGACAGTAAAAGCAAGCCACAGACTAGGACACTATAACCTCAATATAGCTATCCGACAAATTGTATTTGCCACATATAATGAATTTGCCCAAAGCAAGAAGAAAAATATTAAATTGAGAGAGGAAAACATATATTTACTCTGAAAGAGAACAACTAAATGGTCAACAACAATATGAACATGTGATCAAATTCAGTAATTACTAGATAAATGCACATAAAAACAACAATACATTATCACTACACATATCAGATGACTAAGAGTAAAAAAGGCTATCAGCACGAATTATTGGGGACAATATAGAACTACTGGACTTTTTGTTCATTCTGGATGGCAGAAAAAATTGCTATAATCACATTCAAAACTGTTTATCAAGATTCCACTGCTCCTAGGGCAAAGGAGGTGAGCCAATCCCAGCACCCAGGAGGAGGCTTCCCGCCGCCATTCCATCACTCCTAGGGCAATGGAGGTGAGCCACACGAGCACCAGTAGCAAACACCACCCCCTCCATGGAAATGAGAAGACACGTAAACAAGCCTCAAAAACAGACTTCTGAATCACCTACAGCAACCCCAAAGGGAAACGAGATGGAACAATCTGACACTCAACCACCTGGACTCTCTGAACTGGCAACAAAAGAGGATCTGGGAAAAAT